CATTAGGGGATGGGGGGAGTGGGGGGGGAGTAAGGACCATTAGGGGAGTAAGGACCATTAGGGGGGGGGGGGAGTAAGGACCACTAAGGGGGAGAAGGACCACCAAAGGGGGGTAAGGAGGGAGGACCACTAAGGGAGGGGGAGGGTAATGACCACTGAGGGGGGGGGATTACCACTAAGGGGGTGGGGGGAGGAGGGGAAGGTCTACTAAGGGGTTTGGGAGAGGGAGGACCACTAAGGGAAGGGATGGAGGACCACTAAGGGAGAGAGGGGGGAGTGAGAAGACCACCAAGGGGGGACTGCAGAGGGACAGGGGGCCAAGGGAGTAGACACACGGAGGGACAGGAGGGAAGGGGAAATCAATAATTGACAGGAGGGGAGAGCACTATGAAATTTAAAAAAAATAAATAAAGAGCTGTTCCCCTCTCAGTCCCTATCCTACCCCACAAACCCTCTCTTTTACACTACACACAAACACAATGCATTCCCCCCCACCCCCACACACAGAAACATACAATGCATTCCTACTCACACACAGACACACCCGAAACACACAATGCATCCCTTACGTTCACACAAACACTCATTCTCTTACACACAGAAACAAAATGCATCTCTTACACAATCAATGCACCCCTTACAGACACACACTGCATTCAATTACATACACAGAAACACACCTTGCACCCCTTACACACACAGAAACATACAATGCATTCCTTACACGCAAACACACACTGCATCCCCTATAAACACACTACATCCCTTATACAAATTGGTATCCCTATACACTACATTCTATAAGAACACACACACATTGCATCCTCTACAATAACACATAAAACATCCCTTACACACATACACTACACTTCCTGTGAGAGAACTCATGGGTGGGCCATGTAGGTGGATTTATGGGTGGGCATTGTAGGCATACTCATGGTCAAGCCCTGGGGGCCCAGACCTTGAGCTGTGTAAGGGGCCCTAAAAAATGGAGCTGCTTCCTGTTCGTTAATTGTTGTGAGCACTGTTACAAACAGTCTCCTGAGAGCCTCTTCTACACCAGACCTGTGGAGCCAGACTGAGCCCATCATCAGCCTCTTGTCCTCATCTGGTGGTAAGTAGGCAATCCAATATATTATTAGTGGCACTAATCTCACATTAAATGGATACTATAGTCACCAGAAGCACTACAGCATAATGTAGTGGTTCTGGTGTCTATAGCCTGTGCCTGTAGGCTTTTTAATGTAAACACACTGTCTTTTCAGATAAAAGACACTTTGTGAAGACTGGCATTGGCCCATATGGGCGGGGCATTGTGATGTTACATGGTGGGCAGGACATGGGGGGGGCGGCAAATTTTTATTTGCCTAGGGCGGCAAAAATCCTTGCACCGGCCCTGACCCTAAGCAATGTTAATGTCTTTCAGTTCCAGGTATGAAGAATAAATTCAAGGACACTATTTTCAAACCTGCTATAGACATATAAGACTATCAAGCAACTTGCTGATTATGGTGCCGCTATCTAACCCATACCATAGGCAGCCACCCAAGGAGGGTGGCCTTATGTTTAGTTCTGCTCTGACTGGATGTGTGCTGTACTGTGCCCTTAACCCTGCAGCTGCAAACATTGCAGTTTCAGGATTAATACCGCCTCTAGAGGCACTTTCTGGAGTCTTACAGAGTTTGACACTGGACGTCCTCGCGCTTTAATGAGAACATCCATTGTGTTGAGAATAACCAAAGAAAAGCATTGAATCAATGCATTGCTATGGGAAAGGCCTAATGCCAGCTTTAGGTTCCCGAATTGCTGCAGTATGACCAGCGCCAAGGGAAATCGGAACTGGAAATATAAGTGAAAACTGGACGTGTTTTTTTTTTTT